AATTGCTAACTTACAGCAAGTAAACGTGAGTCTTCAGACCCACAGAAAGTGGGTCTTGTTTGTCTTGAAATATGAAATAATTTATACAAAAAAAATAGCACTGGCATTGCTAACTTCAGTGATTATTTTATTAAATGGTCAGTAAGGCTGCCTTTTTAGGTGTTGTTTGTTTGTTTATTTGTTTGCAAGGATAGAATTCTCACTTTGAATTCATCAAAATGTCAGCTCTTCTGATTGTGTTCATTTTCTTAAAAACGTTATCTTTCCAGATATATTTCCAAATTTCTCGAGAAGATTGGCTGCCTCTGAATAGATAGTTTGTGTAACTTTGAGCTTGATTGATCCAGACTCTTCCTTTATCTCTGTAGAGATTCTTTGTTGGCTCAGACTGGCGAGATTGCGGTGTTACAGAATGCTTCTAGCTCCAGTGGTGTTTGATGAAAGACTATAAAGAGAACGTATCCCACAGAGAGGGCTCATCAGCAAGCTGATAGTGTCTTTTCTTTGTATAGAAATGCTATTTTCTTGAATGTAAAACAACATTCTCAGAGAACAGATTTATTTTTTTTAATTGGGTTGTAGGTTATCTGTTCTGATATAATTTATGAGAAGTTTGACGGATGCATCCTTGACAAGTAACTAATTGCTCTCCTTTTTAATGCTTTTCTTTTCTTTTTTTTAAAGGAGAGACTGAAATGTGATTAAGCTGTGTGTGCTTTTTCCATTAACTCTTCAATTCTGTGAAGAGCAAACAGCATATAGAACTTCATTTCATTAAATCAATTTGTGAGTTCTATGAGCTCTTATTAAAGCAGTCATCTTATTAAAGGATACCTACCAGTTGCTTCAGGGGTGGAGGTTGAACAATGTTTAATAAGAATTTATTTTAATTAGTGTTAGAGTGTCTCAAGTATAAACTCTAAATTATAAATGAGACATCTGCATTAAGTTTTCTTTCTAAATGTAATTATGGTTATATGAAATAGATCTTGTGAGAGAGCCTACATTATCAATTAGAAAAATATGATGCATTCCTGCTGATTTTTTTCATAGTCATATATGTAATTGTCCCTTTTATTGAAAATCAGAACTTTTTAGGTTCAACTGACTACTTCGAAAAATGAAATTCTCCTGTGCGTGAGCACAGAAAGGGATGGGAAGATTTGTAACAGTTAGATACGTTCTATCTATTACAAAAACAGGTTAAATCAGTAAGAAAACAGAGCCATAAAACTGATACCTTGTTTGACTTGAGGATGTTGGTCAGGAAGATCCTGACTTGTGTAATGGACAACTTCTCAGAGATAGACCAGTGCTTTGCTGTGTTTCACAGAGAAGGTTTCTGTTGTGGTCTGATAAGAAGCCACTTTTCAGTACTTCCTATTGTCTAGAAAAGGGATAATGTAGCAAAAAATATTTCTGGTGAAGTACTTCACAGTTGTTTTCTGTGAAATGACATTTTCAACTTTTTGAGGTAATTTTCTTTTTTTTTTCTGCTCTGACAAACAGTTTCTTATATACTTCCTTTGTAAGAGCTGGAAGTGTTTGTTAGTAAAGGAGAATAATTTTTAAACAAGCAATTCCTCTTGTTTGATGAAATCTTAAGCATCCATATGTAATGAGATTAAATTAGGAATCCTGTTAAGGCAGTGACATTTGTGGCTGTATTTTAATTTGTTCACAAAATAGAAGACAAATATTACTTTGACACCACCTTAGATCAATCAATGAAAAGTTAAGCTAGTAAGTTAATTAAGGACAATTAGTTTTAGAAATATATATCACATAGAAAACTTATTCCTAGTAAATAAAGCTGCATGTATTTGCAAGTTTGTGAGTTTCTGAGATAACAAAAAGGAAAACTTGAACCTTTTTTCAATGATATCAATTGATTTCAAATGATTTCAATGAGAGTAATGCTTTCTATTAAAGCTTTACATTAAAATGAGGATCCCTCAAAAGCTTTTTCTGAAATGCAGCAAAAAACAGAGCTCTGACCTTTTAATAATGCCATGAGTGCCAGGCTCAGACAACGCAACACAAGTGAGGTGCTAGTCCATTACCAAGTTTTGACTAAAATATAGAAATGCTAATGTGTGAACTGTGTGGTTTCACGTTTTAGGTAAGATTCTTTCCGGAAGTATGAAGTAGAGATTCTACAAGAGAATAGTTTAAGTATTGCCAACTGAATATTGTTTTGGTTGCTTGCTCCTTCCTAGAAACATAAAACACATTCAAATGAATGGCTGAATCACGCCCTGGTCTGCAGAAAGGGGCTCTTGTTACCCTAGACTTAAATGTGCCTGAAGTTGGAGAACCTCAGTGAAAGTTGTCTGTTGCCTAATATGGAATGGGTGATTCTACTTGATATTCCTTTTACTGTTTCGTTTGTATACTGGAGTTGTAATCTTTTACCATGCGCATAAGTTGAGAATATGGTTTGGAGGCAGGATATTTATGAGTAGCAGTAGGAAGGAGGGGATCCCTCTGTTAATATTAACACCCAGGAGGGGAGTAAACTCTTCAAAAGGGCTGACAATAGCAGGACTAGGGGAAATGGATCCAAGTTGAAGGAGGGAAGATTTAGGTTGGATGTTAGGGGGAAGTTCTTTACAAGGAGAGTGGTTAGGCCCTGGAACGGGCTGCCCAGGGAGGTTGTGGATGCCCCGTCCTTGGACGTGTTCAAGGCCAGGTTGGACGGGGTCCTGGGCAACCTGATCTGAATGTGTATGTTTGGTGGCCCTGCTAGGCAGGGGGGTTGGAACTACATGATCCTTGAGGTCCCTTCCAACCCGGGTGATTCTGTGATTCTGTGATTCCGTGAAGGGATTTGAGGTTGTTTTTTCGGGGGGTGGAGGGGAATGATGAACAAAAGTGACACTAGATTAAAAACAGAATCTTAAAATTGATTTCTAAGTTACATGGTATTAAAACACAAACAGGTATTTGAAAGATGGTTGTTTGTTTGTAATCCATTTCCTCTTAAAAATCGTTCAAGTCATATTGAATAGTAGCAGTTTGAAGAGTCCCATCGTATTGTGCTATAGTTATCTACATGAAGAACAATAACAGGAAAAATACTTCTGAGCTTAATAATGTTTGTGAAGCAGTGAGCATTTCGTATATACCTATCATAGTTCTTTTTTGTGTGTTTTTACATTTTTCTTTCCACTGCCAGCAGTACGTCTCACATGCCTAGTATTGAAATATCCTTTTTTTTTTTTCCACGTTTTTCCTAGATGAACTTAGCAACTCCAACAGTAGGCTTTGCATTGGTGCTCAGAATAAATGCATCTAGAGTTCTAATTCCCAATTGTTTGACAAAACTTGCATTTTTCAGTACTGTCTTAAGTTGGTAACAAAAAAAGAGTCTGGAGATATATAAGTACATATCAATACATATGCATATATGTTTTTCATCCAAACTCTTTATATATGTATGTGTGTGTGTGTATGTGTGTGTGTGTTTTTCACAGATATACAAATTTAATATAAATTATATGTACATAAATTATGTTTATGTATGTGAATCATGTATATACATACTGTATTGAGGAATGGTTTTAAACTAAAAGAGGGGAGATTTAGGTTAGATGTTAGGAAGAAATTATTTACCCATAAAGTGGTGAGACATAGGCACAGGCTACTCAGAGAAGCTGTGGGTGCCCAATCCCTCAAGGCTGGGTTGGATGGGGCCCTGGGCAGCCTGAGTTGGTTTCCCCCAAGGCAGGAGGCAGGGACTGGGTGGGCTTTAAGGTCCCTTCCAACCCAAACTGTTCTCTGATTCTATGATTAGAAATATATATTATCTACTTCTATATCTACTTCTATATCTATCTATCTATCTATCTATCTATCTATCTATCTATCTATCTATCTATCTACCTATGCAAACTTATGTATATGCAGTTAACTAAAAGTTGTCCCTAGAGGAGGCTACTTGTTAAGATAGGTGGAAATAATGTGGAATTTTTTTATATTTTTTATTTTTTAAGAAAATAATTATGGCATTATCTAGTGTCACATTTAAGTTCTTATTTTGTATTGATTGTCACTATCTCGAGCTAAAAATGCTGTCTTTTTGAGTGTGTGGTATTCACTTACTACTAACAGTACTCACGTGTGCTAAGCAAAGTGGGATCCTCTTGGATATGAGAAAGTTTTTTACTGTGAATTACGGAGTAAATCAGTCACAGGAGTGATCTGTTTTTTTCTAGTGTAGCTTAGGAAATTGGAGGGCACAACACAATTTTTCTGTTGGAACTGAGATTTTGGTTTTGATTATGAAGAATCTTGACTTCAAGTTTTGGAAGACTTACCTACTTTTCCAAGAACCCTCTGTCTTCATTGTTGCTTTGTCTATGTTGGTGTTGTCCAGTTTGTCACTATTTAGAACCAACGTGTTGAACTTGTTCTTCAATATCCCTTCTTTTATTGTTGTGTGTCAGCAGCCAGTGCCTCATTTTTCCTTGGTAGTCAAACTTTTTCTCTTCTGATTTTCAAGCCACTGAAGTCATGGGAATAACACTTTGAATATAAGCACTGAGAACATATACAGGGAAAATCTACTTTTTGAGACAGCTTTTTGAGTCTGTGGAATCTCACTTTAGATCAACTAACACCAATTACTCATAATGCACAGTCTTATCAGTACTAAAGGTGTACATACGAGCACTAGGGCTGTGCATTGTTTGACAAGTTGGTTCCTGATGTCATGGCCAAATGTGTGGTTTCGCTGTTGTTTCTGAGGAATGAGTTCAGCAATCACACAGATGGCATGAATTATATATATATTAGAATGATATTTTATAACATATTTGCCATCTTGCAAATACCAAGATGTTCTTAAGCATATTCCATAATTTTTGCTCATCAATTGTCTGTCTTTCTACTGTCTTGGGGGAGTGAGGATAGAGGGAGCTTTATCTGAGCTCATCTTTACATCTTCAGAGTAGTGTTTACTGACATATATGGCATGCTGATTTTTCTCTCCTTTTCAGAAGAGAAACCTGATTGCTCCAAGGCCCGCTGTGAGGTCCAGTTTTCTCCTCGCTGTCCAGAAGATTCCATCTTGATTGAAGGTTATGCTCCTCCCGGGGAATGCTGTCCTCTCCCAAGCCGTTGTGTGTGTAATCCTGCAGGCTGCTTGAGGAAGGTTTGCCAGCCTGGCTATTTGAATATATTGGTTTCTAAGGCATCAGGAAAGCCAGGGGAATGCTGTGATCTCTATGAATGTAAACCAGGTAAAAATGCGCACCTTTTTTTTTTCTTTTTTTTTTTTTTTTTCCAGTTTTCAGTTTAATCTATCTAACACGTACTATTTATATAATTGAATCTGATGAAACCTATGTAGTATCTGAATTATCTTCAAAATTTAGATGATATTTATGGCCAACATCCTCTTAAAAATAATAATAATAAAATTTTCTTTATCTTTATCTTGAAACATTTTATTTAAACTAAGAAACCAGGGAAAAGCAATCTTTAGTGAGAATACTGTGTTTCAACACACAATATAAGTGAGAGTGGCATATTTTGTTACAATTTTATTTCTACAAAGGTATTTTTTCAGCATGGGAATATTTTGTGCATAAAACAAATCTTAATTCAGTGCTTAAAGTTTATGTAGGTTACAAGTTGATGACCCTTAAAAATATGGAGCAAGAGGTCTGCAAAAGAACATAATCAAAGGCTTTGTAGCATTTGCAGTGTCTATCAATTTTCCATCGCATGGGAGCACAAACAACCCTTTTCTTGTGATTTGTTTATATCCAGACTTTGTTAAGGATGAGTAATAAAAATAAAGGAATGAAAGCAGGCATATAAAATAATAACATCCAAAATATCATATGTAAAGAGGTTTGAGTATGCTAAGTTATGCATTTTCTCAAATACTTCACAAAATGCTGGGTACTCTTTGTCTCCCATGCCTCTGTTGTGTTTTTCCTAATGTCCAGTGCAAATCTTCCGATGTAGAAATTTAAGTAAATTCTCTGTCTTGAACAGGTGGAAAACAAAGCTTATAATAATACATGCTCTAGAACATTTTGTCAACCTCAACTTTCTTTCATCTAGGATTAGCAAGTAGACATTTATTAAGGTATAGTTTCCTTGTACTTAGTGCTGTGTTGTTCCTCTCCAAGTTTTCCTGAGTTTATCCACATTTCCTTAAAATGCAATGTTCAAAGGTAGAGTACTATTTTAGATGAGTCTTTGGCAGCATTAAATACAATGGTATTTAGTGTACAATTGTGAAATAATAACTACTTCTGGCATTTCATGCAAAATGTGGATTAAGAGTGAACTCTTGAGATTTATTTAGTTTGTGAAATGCTGTGAAACCAAGATGTTTCTGTAGGATGACTACAGAAACTACAGTTGTTGGATTATGTGGTAATTCATTTATGTTATGGGTTTATGTGTCTATATATTGGTTTTTTGTTTTTTGTTTTTTTGAAGTGTTGAAGTGTTCTTCATTTCTTTTTGGAGGGAGATGCATTTAGGAGGGTAGGGGAGCAGAGGCTTTGAAGATACTTCAGAAGGAGGCTAAGAGAATTTAAGGGAAGAATAGAGCTTTGCAGTGGTGGTTAGGAATTGAGGGGCTAACAGAGAGCAGAGAGTCTGAGACCTTAGTGATCAAAGAAAATATTTTCATTATCTCCCAGAGTTGAGTAATTTATATGATGTATGGTAAGAGTCTAGAAAATGCAACAATCCTTGAGGGATCAAGGAGAAGTGAAAGAGAATGGTAGTAGGAGTCTGCATCAGCTTGGATATATGGAAAAGTGAAGTTGGGGGGATAGGGAGGGAGGCCAACAGGTTTGAAGACAACAGGAACTGAAGTGTTGGTGAGAGGCTCAGTGAAGTGAGCACTCTTTTGTGTCCAGGCAAAAATGGTTAATGAAAAATGGTTAATGAAAGATAAAATGATCAAGCTACTGACAACTTGCTCACAGTGCCTTGGTTTTAGGAAAAAAAAAGGAGTACTGTTACAGGTGGGTTTCTTAGTAACTACATAGCCCAATTTTTGTCAAGTTAGACTTCAGCAGCTGTACTAGTTGCATTTTTCTTTATGTGTGTGTGTTTTCGTTTTTTTTTCTTTTTTTATGATTTCAAGTAAGTTTTCATTTTTTTATATGTGAGAATAAGCACTGGAATATCTTGTTTATTAAAGTTTTGTATTCATAGTCATAGAATTCTAGAATAATTTTGGTTGGAGGAAACCACTAGAGGTCATCTTGTCTGTTCCATCTTTTCCTATACTATTTTGTACCATTTATTCTCTGTGTGTGTATATATATGTGTACTACCAAATGTGTAGTAACACATGTGGTTAACTGTTCATGCAGAGTTTCTTATGGAACTGATATTACCTGTTCTGTTGAATAGTGTTAGCAAGTCTGTGAAGATTACATGTGGAAAGGAGAAAATTTCTGCATATTTTTCTACAGACTTGAAATTGAAGTTCTGTAACTTTTGCTATCAGGGTGTTTGCTCTTCCTGCAATATTGTGTCTCAGTAACCAGCCTCCTTAGAGGTTCTCAACCAGTGAGGAGGTTCTGGTGGAAAGAGCCTGCCAGAAGCTAGAAGGTGTGCTTCCTATGGTAACAGTGCTCTTTTATGTCAATCTAAAGGGTTCATGGAATTAAAGCATGAACTGTGTTTGCTTCTATTCCTTAAATAATACGACTTTGCTTTTCAATTTACAGTGATATTTGAATTTGGAATCTTCTGCTGAGAGTTACACTTGTAAATGTACTATGGTAATTGAGTTACTGAAAGGAAAATAGGAAGTGGTTGCCTTAACATTAAATGCTTGTATAAAAATGAAAATTTTTGTTTCAAAATGTGACAATTTTTCTGCAATACAATGATCACAGTGATCAGAGACATTAGTATATAATTAAAATGAAGTAGTATCTTAGTAACACCTGTTTACTAACCTCCAGATTAACTTAACATAGATATTCTTACCAAATGTTGCACTGACAACAGTAACAGCTGTTACTTATTGCCTGCAAGTCTTTTTTTTTGTTTTGATATTCTTCCTATGCTCATTTCTGAGATGACACTGATCTGGTGTCATAAGCAACCTACCTTCCCTAACCCCCACGTTCCCTTTCCCTGACGCAGCTCCATGCCGTTCCCTCAGCCGTCGTTGTCACACAGAGCAGAGCTCAGTGCTGCCCCTCCGCTCCCTGTGAGGAGCTGCAGCCACCATCAAGCCTCTCCTCAGCTCCTCTGATCTGGGCTGAACAAATCAAGGTTTTGAAGATGATTACTTATCATCTCTAGCATAAATTCATGGCATGGGAATTAGTACAACTGAAACGACCTTTTTTTTTTCCTGGTACCTAATCTTCATTTAACACTTGCAATTGTAAATCAGACGTTACCAGTTGGCATCCTTCTTCAGAGAATTTAACATTGTGAGTAGTCAAGGCTTGACGGAAAGTCAGCGATAAATTTTAATAAGTAGTGTTAGATGATGCATAGGGATCTAAGTTGTGCTCCACCCTGCTACAGCTTCAGCATTGAAAATTGTGTCTGGAATTTTTACAGGCTTGCACGAAGGAGAAAGGTCAGAAAAATCAAGATTTATAGATAGCAGAAAGTATAGTTACATAACTTCATTCTTTATTGCTTTCAGAAATAGTACACGGTTGTTGCTCAATTGGGTTTTTTTAGATGCTTTCTTAGAACGTGATTTTGAAAGAACTTAGAAGGTGAGTTTGGAAAAAGACTTATGAAAATCAATTGGAAAAGTCTCAGATACTTTTCTAACAGAGCTGGAGAAATGGCTGATAAGTTGGCAATGATGGTAAGGAAGAAAGCGATTAGAACTACTCATTAAAAATAAGTAAAAGCAACAGGACTGTATTGGGAAGTATATGTTACAGTAAAGTTAATGAAGTCATTAAGTCAGTGAGAGAACTGGTCTAGAAGTCTGGGAATGTTATCTTTTCTGTTACGTTTAGCATATTCTAAGGTGTGAAGAAGTGTAAGAGGGATGATGGATTGTCAAAGAGAGCCGGAAACAAATTAAATTATAAACATAATGTATGAGTGTTTCAGGATCCTGGTTTTTTTCAGGAAAAGTGTAGGAAATGAAGGAGGTGTGAAGGGGTTTTGTGGTTTTTGTTTTTCCTCCTTCTTTTGAAAGAAAATGTAATTAACATTACCAAATGTAGTTAGGTTGTATTATGTTATTAATGAGGGAGGAGTTTAAGTGCATCCTGATCTGAAAGCAAAGGGTGTTGTGTGATGCTACTTGACTGTTGTAGAAGTTGACTTTGTACTCTTAGAAAAGAACTTCAGGAAACTTTTACTTCTGGGAAAACCAAACCAAACCAAACCAAAATCTTCCCTGTGCTGAGCCAGTGTTGCACCATAGGTGCAAATATGGGCTCCATCAAAAGAAGGGTGGCCAGCAGAGACGGGGAAGTGGTTGTCCTCTACTCTGCTATTGTGAGGCCCCATCTGGAGTGCTGTGTGCAGGTCTGGAGCCCCCAGTACAAAAAAGACAGGGAGCTGGTGGAAAGGGTCCAGAGGAGAGCCACGAAGATGATCAGAGGACTGGAGCACCTCCCCTATGAGGACAGGCTGAGGGAGCTGGGTTTGTTCAGCCTGGAGAAAAGAAGGCTGCAGGGTGACCTCATTGCAGCCTTTCAGTACCTAAAGGGAGCCTACCAAGAGGAGGGGAATGAACTCTTTGAAAGGGTTGATAACTGCAGGACAAGGGGAAATGTTTTTAAGTAGAGGGAGGGGAGATTTAGGTTGGATGTCGGGGGAAATTCTTTACAGAGAGTGATGGAACAGCTGCCCAGAGAGGTTTTGGATGCCCCGTCCCTGGAGTGTTCTAGGCCAGGTTCGATGGGGCCTGGTCTAGTATTAAATGGGGAGGTTGGTGGCCCTGCATGTGGCAGAGGGGTTGGAGATTCATGATCCTTGAGGTCCCTTCCAACCCTGGCCATTCTGTGATTCTGTGAAATACTATCTTGTTTTTCAGGTTTTAGACGTGCACGCAGTTATTTGGATCTCATCTCTGTACTATGTATGCTATTCTTAGAGAAGCTAGTACAGTATGTAAAGGCAGAACTTCATGTAATTATGTTAACATATTTTACTCGAAAGTTATTTTCTCCTAATATTTATAGTTTTATGATTGGAGAACCCAGGTTTTGTAATTTACAGAGGTGCTTGTGCAGTGCTAGAGGTGAGGCATGATTTGCAGTCATGATAGGGTTTCTGCTACATTCTTATAGGAAAAAGAAGTAACTAATAAGAGTTACAAATTCAATGCATGAATCGAAGATTCATAAACATTGAGTGCAACTTCAGTAATAGGAAATTTCAACGTTTGAGATCTTACAGTGATGTATTAATCAAACTAGATGTCTAAAGCTTAATGTTTCTAATAAAGGCAATTTTATTTGAACAGGATTTATAATTCTATTAGCTTTCTAGCCCTAAACTTATTCATGAAATGTACACTTTAGATAGTTGCTGGAGCCAACATAAGACCTGAAAACAAAACTGCTGTTTTAGTGGTAAATGGTTAGTGTCTCATTTTTCAGAATGATAATGCAGCTAATCTGGGGAAAACTTTTTAACTAATAAAGAATATAAAGATATATAGAAGTATGTAAAGATTATAGATTGTTCTGCTACCTTACATTATTTTCAGCATGCTGGAAAGTTAAGCTAAATACTTTTTGAATTTTGACAAACCAATTTAAACCTGAAAGGTACTTTTTTTTTTTTCCTGCTTCTAATCTCTTACCTCTCTTGACCTCTGTCATGTGAGGAAAGACTGACAGAGCTGGGAATGCTTAGCCTACAGAGGAGAGAACTCAGTGGTAGTCTCATCAATGTGTAGGAATGGTCCCGAGCAGCCTGGTCTAGGTGACCATGTTAGAGCAGGGTGGTTAAACCAGCTGAACTTCAGAGGTGCTTTCCATCCTCTATCGTTCCATGATTAGCTTAATAATGTCATAACAGATATCTCCTAGCCTGGAGAGAATGTTGAGATGGCATATGAGTGTGGATTCTGAGAGTGATGGATAAGTAGATTCATTGTTCACCAAATCCTACTAATCCTAACAAGATTTAGAGAGAATTCTGGTACTAGCAAAGTCTGTGTAAAACAATAGTGAATGGTGGGATCTTGCTACCACAGGAGATTATGGAGCAACTATTTTCAGAAAAAAAGAATTGGACAAGTTGATGCACAACAGGTACATAGTTGTGTATGAGAGTTTGAGGAGAACATCTGAACAATTTGAAGGCTCGTGGAAGAGGAAGGAATGCCATAGGTGATGTCCCTAACTAATATCTCTCTTTGCCACCATTGAAGATAACTGGTTAGACAGACCAGTACTTTGACATAGCATGGCATTTTTCTTTATTCTGAGAAATTCTTCCTCTTGTCAGTGTAGATAGATCTAACAATCTGCATTTCTGTTTCACTGTATATAAATAACTAAACAACACAAGAATAAGCCTTAAAAATGAAGTGTGCATGTGCAGACACAAATCCAGTGTATCTTTTTTATTTATCTATTTCCTATAATAAATCAATTTTACTCTTTAAGAAGATTTTAACCAGGAAAGAAATGAAACAATATTATTTTTAATTGCTTCTAAAACTGTGGGAAAAAATGCATTCTTAATAATCAAGTATATTTCTAGTAATGAACGTCATTCACTAATTTAATGATTACTTGAGGTTGCCTGTACAACTTTTATAATTTTCTTATTAGGTGATACTAGTTGATAACTGAGTCCATAATATTAAAGTGAATATTAAAGAGGATGAAAACCTTTTTTCCAATATTACCCACCAAGCATGCAGTCAATAGATACATTGTCTGATTTAAATTTGAAGACTGATGCATAACTGATTCCTTAAGGTGAATTAATTTACCAAAAATTTGAAAGCATGAGTAAAAGAAATTTCTTCTCCCCTTCTTCCTTAGTGTTCAGTGTGGACTGCAGCACAGTGGAATGCCCTCCTGTTCAGCAAGTGGTTTGCCCACTGGATAGCTATGAAACCCAAGTCAGGCTGACGGCTGATGGCTGCTGTACTCTGCCTACAAGGTTTGTGTCTGGATGGTTGAGTATTCATTTTTTCATTTATTTTTTAATTTTGCAATTCAAGAAATACAGACGCAAGATAACAATGCATATCACAGAGGCAATAGAAGGTAATACAGGACAGAATATATATGCAGTAGGTTAAAAGATTGTCAGGCTTAAATATTAAATCCATCTTTTTCAAGCAGAAGATTCTTCTCAGTGCAAATGCATCAAATTTTACTAAATTTCTTTGATTAAGTGAGTTTCCAGTGTATTCAATTTGTTTTACAAAATAAATCATTTTGAGAAATGTCTTTGAAGTTATGGCAAATCTGACAGAGAAAATCTTACCTAGTTAAAGAAAATAAGGTATTTTTTCTGTGTAGAAACCTGCTGTAATATGCTGAAAGATGATGACTATCTGGTACCATAGGGAAAAAGAAGTTACAGATACTCATTTCATTTTATTTCAGTTTGTTAAGTGTAATTTACTACATTTCAGGAAAATAAGACAATTCTGAGTTACATTTTTTTTTTCAAAGTTCTGCACCACTGTTTCAACTTCTTTTTGCAACAGAGTTCCTCAAACCTGATTGAGTATTATGTCCAATAAATATCTATTCAAGCAAAAGGTACCTTTACTGAAAATATTTTACATAATACAGAAATTATTTCTTGTAGATATGAAGCTAGCAGGATTTTTTTGTATGAAGGTCTTTCACACTGTATGATCTGCCCCATACTTAGCCACTCGTGAAACTGAAGTAGTGATAAACTTGTGAGTTCAGAAAGAAGCAAATAGCAAAGCCTGTACAATCATGGAATCACAGAATGGCCTGGGTTTGAAAGGACCACAACGGTCATCTAGTTTCAATCCCCCTGCTATGTGCAGCGTCACCAAAAGCCAGACCAAGTGCCCAGAGCCACATCCAGCCTGGCTTTGAATGCCTCCAGGAATGGGGCAACTACAACCTCCTTGGGCAACCAGTGCTTCACTGCCCTCTGAGTGAAAAACTTCTTCCTAATATCTAACCTAAACCTCCCCTGTCTTAGTTTAAAACCATTACCCCCTTTTTCTGTCACTATCCACTCATGTAAAGCTGCCGTTCCCCCTCCTGTTTGTACACTCCCTTTAAGTAAGGAAGCCCACAATGACGTCTCCCTGGAGCCTTCTCTTCTCCAAGCTAAACAATCCCTGTTCCCTCAACTTTTCCTCATAGGAGACGTGCTCCAGCCCTCTGATCATCTTAGTGGCCCTCCTCTGGACCTGCTCCAAGAGTTCCGTAACTTTCTTGTGCTGGGTGTCCCAAGCCTGGATGCAGTATTTGAGATGGGGCCTCACGAGAAAGATCTTTACCACTGGGTACCCTTTGGGTACATGTTCAATATAGTAGCTTCTTGGAAACTGTTGTTTACATGAACTATGAGGACAGTGATAAATTTTTACTTTCAAATTTCTTTCAATTTCTTTGACTGAAAACTCTAGATAGGCCAATTAGGTTTGGTTTCAAAAAAAAAGAAAAAAAAATTGAGTTTTATACTTCTGCAATGTGCTGTATTGATAAAAATTGTGGGTTTTTTATTGTTGGGTTTTTTCTTGTTGTTCTTTTTTTTGTGTGTGGGGAAAGAAAAATAATCCACTTTCATCTTTTTATATAATAATTTAAGCATTCCTTCTGTTAGCAAACACAGAATACTGAAAAAGTCGAACTTCATTTGCTTCAGAAAAATGATCATTTAAAAATATTTTCTATTTCTAGAACACATATGAGAACCGATCTTATATAAAACATCTTAAGCAAACAATTCTTTCTTTGAAATAATCTTTTTTTCTTTCTTTGGTAGTATTTAAAAACATAGCCAGTTGGTTTGCTATGCGTAAAATGTAACTGATGTCTGAAATGTACTTGCATGTATGCATGGTAACTAAGTGATCAAAAGAGTATTCCCATCTCCTGCATACAAAGACCCCCAAGCAGGCTCAGATTGTGTGAATTCCTAAATAATTCTGAATCACACTGAAAACACTTGAAAATCTGATTGCTATGCATTTTTGGGATTGGAGTTTAACAGGCTGTGATGGATGTGTTCTGAGCTCCTGGAGTCTTATGATCAGAATTTCTAACCATGTTTTTGTGTTAATATTTCTATAAAGCTGCAGAAAAACATACTTGGAATAACTTGTCTGGATCTTCAAACAGGTTGAAACATTTACAAGAGTCTTGTACTTTTCCATTAATTTTGATTTTGTGGCTCAGACTATGTTCTTTTATACAGTTATAACACAGCTCGGTGTATTTTTGGATTGTGTTAATTTCAATTTTTTTTAATTAATTAAACCAACGCAATGGGTCACTTTTTAGCAGAGGAAGTGGGAAGGGAAGGACAGCCAAATCTGACAGTGCTAAGACCATCTCAGATGCTTTACTTATTGCATCCTGATGGCGATTAATTATTTAGAATCACTATGGCACCATATTCCTTAAGAAGCACAGCAGTAGTCATACGTGTATTGGATATAAGGGAATTACTTGAAGTGGGGGCAATAAAGGAACATGGGGGACATGGGAATAACCAAAAAGAAATATTAGATAAATGTTAGAAGAGAAGCATGGGTGTGAAAAAAATGAAAGGACAGAAAGGAAAACTATGTTCAGCTACTTTGAGCATGAAAATCAAACCATATGAAGTTAGACTGGAAACTTGTAGGATGTGAGGAAACATTGGAATTTTATATTTGAAGCTCAGATCATAATGTCCCACGAGGCTTTTGTATCATAACTATAGACGTCAAACAGAGTGGAGGTTTATGGATGAATGACTCTGTACTTGGAAAGGAGAAGTTTTCTTTAATTTAAGAATTCCTTAATAAACATGTTGAAATATAAATAACACATTGACTGATTCAGTTTAGAACTGCCTAAATCTGTGTCATTATTCTTTGTCATCGTTAAACTCAGAAGTAGCATTGTATGCTTTTCTGTGCATTTGATAATAACTTTAAAGCAGAGTGTGCTTCATTAATCTGTAGATTTTAGTCTTCATTAAGCTATTTTTATTACAATTATTGACTATTTCAAGAAATAAAAATTCTCATTTTCTACTATTAAAATACTGGCTTAACAACAGCAGAAGTGGAAACCAGTGAGTATCATGGTAAGGAACGAATGGCTGCATGCCATTTACTTGATTAACAGCTGACAACTTCACATACAGCAGCAGGAGCAGATAGGTGTATGCTTGTCCTTGACTCATTTTTAATATGCAGTATTGTTGTATCCCCTTTCCCAAACAATTTGAAGGTAAATTTTTCCTGCACCCTTCCTTTTTCAGATTTTGGGCATGAATCAGTCACAATGAGTCAGTGTCACAGTCCTTTGTCTCCTTAGATGAACTCTTAAAACATGCGTGGCTTGAATATCTTGCTGTTTGCATGGCTTACTTTACTTCTCTTTGAGAAGAGAGAAGCCATCCAATAGTATGTTCACTAAATCCCAGTAAGAAGATTGCTTGACCTACTTATTTTAAAAGTTCACACCAGAAACCCAAATATTTTCTAGATTAGAGAAGACTTCAGAAATAATTGGTATGTTTGTTCAACAAAATCACAAGTACTGTGCCTTGTGTCTGAGTTTTAGCTTTAAAATGCTGTTTCAAGGTTTTGGTAGGAGAACAAAGGAAAGAACAAATGTAAATGAAACACAAGAAGAGCAAATTACAGACAGACTTTAAGAGTGAGCTATTAAATTAATGAAACAGGAATACAAGTCATAAAGATTAATTAGTTCATATTTCAGATAAAAGTGAAGAATGGCTTTTGACAGATACCATTACTTCCTTGCAAAATTGGAGTCTGAAAGGCTTCAGCTTGAGGGATGGGTGAATCAAGATTTTTTTTATTCAGACCAATTCACCATCACTTAGTTACAGATGGTTGCATGGCGTTGCAAATGCAAAACTTTCAATTGGATAGAGTGGTGTGGAGGAGTAGCACTATAGGCTTATTGTTTAGAAGTAAACCTCTGAAAGAGTTTCTTCAATGAATTAGTCATAGATTTTTTTTTCCTGTTTGAATAGCCTTTGCCCTGTTGGTTTTACTTTACATGCAGTTGCAATGTCTCAATCTGTGGCTGCTTTGAATGGCAATTCCAGAGATTGTTCTGTAGTATCATGAAAAATGATGAAGTTTATTTGACAAGCAAAAGTGTTAGTTCTCAGAGTAATACACTAAAATGTTGGTTTTACATTCTAGTGACCTACTAAGCTCTTTTAGGGGCCAGTTTACATGTGTGTGTTTTGTTTTTCGCCTGCATTAAGCTACAATTAGGAAAGAAAAAACAAAAAACAAAAAAACAACCACCAGTATACCTTATAAGAGTATGCAACCTGAAATATTTCTTAAAATGATTCTGAAATGTATGCTTTGAAAGCAAGAATATTCTCTGTTTAATACAATTTAGGGTGATAAGCTACAATATTTGTCAACAGATAATGAGATTGTTTGAAAGAGGTCAATGAAATTTATCCCTGCCATTGAAATTTAGCAAATTGCATTTTTCTTACATAGTACCCATAGTACCTATCAGTGATATTAATCTGTAAAAAAAAAAAAAAAAAATTCTAGTGTGGAATTTCTAAATTATTGCCATGACGAACAAATTCAACCTTTCCATTTCAGTTTTCAAGCAGTTAACTGTATGCTTTTTTTTTTTTTTTCACATTTCCTTAGAAAGAAGTAGCAATAAAATGGTCTGAGTTAATACTCAAACTACATATTGATAAAAAGCATTAGAGACTGTAATTAGACTAAAAATCATAGAAGGAATATCTTCATTTGATGTTGAACATTAACGTCTGAACATTAAATACTTGATAAATGATGCATCTCAAAGCAAATTTTCTGTATTCTTTGTTGTATTATTTGGATCACACTTGAAATTTTTTTCTGGAGTATTTTGATCTCATAAGTTGAGATATTAAAACATACTGATTTAAAACAGAATGCAATTTTTACTGCAGAT